TGTCTCTGAGCGCTCTACTGCCAGTAGGAGTGGGCCACTGTGGTGTGACTAAATTGACTACCTCGGCTGAAGCTGCGAGAGACAGGATACAGAATTGCAGCTCTCTTTATAATTTGTGTTGACACCCTGATGGGAAAAAGAGAAAAGGCGTAGAAAAATAATTCATGAAAGGAAAAGATATACAAGAAGCAAGTGATTTTAGAAAAAAATTTAACCTAGCCAGAAATCAAAGCAATATTCATAAAACAACAGCGAATATTTAAGTAGAGGCCAGGTGTGGTGTGTGGCAGTTCACACTTGTAATCCCAGCACCTTGGAATAGTGAGACAGGAGGATCCCTGAAGCCACGGGTTTGAGACCAGCCTGGGGAACATAGTAAGACTCAATCGTATACAAAACTAAGAAAAATTAGCTTAGCCAGGTGTAGTGGTACACACGTGCAGTCACAGTCACTTGGGAGGCTGAGGTAGGAGGATCACTTAAATCTAAGAGCTTGAGGCTACAGTGAGCTATGATCATTACACTCTATTCCAGCTGAAGCAACACAGCAAGACCCTGCCTTACAAACAAAAAAGAAAAAAAATAAGTCTAAATAGACAAAGTTTTTTAATCTCTAAAAATTGTGTCAGCACCCCAAAATATGGAAATTATTTTAAAAATATGTACAGTGACATAATGGAATGCTATGCTAGCATTAATATTATGTTTATAAAGAGTTTAAAATTATTTAATGACATGGAAATACAATATATGGAAATGAAAATAAAGGAAACAAAATTGTATAAATGGTATCACCCCAATTGAGAAATGTTTGTCTGTGTATAGGAAAAAATACTGGAAAGAAAACCATCAGAACATCAACTATGTTTATTGCAGGGTGTGATGATTTTTAATTGTCTTTTTCATCCTTGTTCACATATTCTGAAATTTCTAAATGAGCATATGCAATTTTCTTGATGAAGAGTGCCCAAGAGGGAATCAGGGTTACCAGCTGCCTAAGTCAAGGTTATATCTATGAAATGAGGGATCCAGAGCAATCTAGGTGAGTCCCAAGGTCCTTTTGAGCTCTAACATTTCATTCATTTCTTTGCTGACTTAACAAGCACGTACAGAACATCTGTACAGAACTATGGACCAGAACCCTGGGGCCTCTATAGCTAGACCAGCCAGATTACAAAGCAAAGTCTGTGAGGTTGGGGCTTCTTGGTGTCATTCTACTTACCCTTTTCCTGCTAAACTTTTAGTGACTTTATAATCTCTCTCTTCGCCTCTTCCCCTTGTTAAGCCCTGTTTTTATGACAGATTTAGACTCTGGGGTGTGGGATGGACATGATTGGTAACATCTTAAAGGACTATGTCTCCCGCAGGGACTTCACTAGGTAGGAATAAAAATCTTACCCTAAAGGAATGAAGCCCTCTTGGCCAAATGAATGGAATGAAGCCCTCTTGGAATGAAGCCCTCTTTCCCATTTTCTTAGGAAAAAGCTAACAGGTGGAAAAACGTTTGCAAACTCTCCGAATCTTTGCTTTTACGATTCCCTCCCTGCCCTTGCTATTTGGCCTGGCAGTCCTGACCTGTTTCACAAACCGGTTCTGGCTCTTCCTCTTTCCTGCGCATTCCCAGAGGAACCGTAAATCGCTCTGCTGTGGCACGGACCCCCCTGCACTGTAACTTTCTGTTTGCATGTCTTCTTCCTTATTAGGCTGGAAGCCACTTGAGCTTCTCACTTTCCCTGTATCTGCAGCCCCTGAATTGCACAGCGTTTCAAGGATCTTCGGATAGTGAATCCCACCCCATGGCCAGGCTGTTTCTGGGTCTTTTTATTGACATCCCTTAGAAATACAGGCAAAATATCATGATAAACAAGTGCCCTTGGAGTTTTCTCAGTATGGGTAGCCCTGTGATAGCCTCTAATGCTTAAAAAATTCCCCAGATTTTTCAACCTGGGCATGACAAATCATTGGAGAGTGAAATCAACTTAATAGGTTGGGATCAATTTTCAAAGTGAAATAGAACAGAACGGAATATAAACAGGATAGAAAGTCTGTGGCATCTCCCAAATAGTAACAGTAAGTATTGTCCTGTGAAGCTTTTGTTTCTGTCGTGCATGTGGTATCTGCATGCTAGGTCATGGTGAGCTACAATGAAATACGTTGGAAGCCAGCTAGGGGGAGGGAGCCCAGCTCGCCTGCAGCTGCATGGCCATGGGCAGGCCTCCCTGCCTGTGGTGCGCACTGAGGCCTGCACCCACCTGACAGCTGTAGCCCAGGACCCGGCAGAATATTTTTCCCTCTGCAAGTTTGAAGTCCAGGAGATTAAGAGGTCAAAATAATTGTTTTACCCCTGAAGAAAACTTAAGGGCTTGTATCTATTCTCTCTTTCTACTCATGCAATTCCAGAGCCATTTTTCCCTACTGACTGAGAAACAAAGCCTGCCACTGGCAGTTATGTCAACATGACTGCCCTCTCCCACCTTCCTGATGGAGCCTGGAACTCCTGCCTGGCTTGGGCTTTTGCACGAGCGGTGCCTCCAGGGCCATGTGCTGCTCAGCCTCTTGCTGATACAGCTGATGTATCACTGGCCCAGGCTGGGTGAGCAACTCTAAGGAAGGCTCTTGAAAGAATATCAAACAGGGCCTGCAGCAGCTCCCTGTGCACTGTCTGGCTCATTCCAGGGCCAGTGCAGGGAGGGACTCAGACTTAGCCCCTCTGCCTTAGTTTCCCCATATATATAATGGGTATAGTTACTGTACCTACTTCAATAAGTTACTGTAGGGATTAAACAAGCTAAAATATATGAAGTGCTAGAACAGTCCTCTCACAAGCAAGCATTAAATCCATATTAATTACCTTCATTTGATCAATCTTTAAGCCTGTGTGATAGCTGTTATTTTTCCATATTTATAGATAAGAAATTAAGTAACCTGCCCTGTGTCATGTGTCTAGTAGAAGCAATGCCAGAACTTAAATCGAGCTCTTCTGATCCCCAATTCTGTGTTCTTTTCCCCTAATGATGCTCCACTCCAGCTGTAGGGGCCTGCGGGGCATGGGACCTGCTACTATTCAGAGCTTCCTGTCATGGGCCTCTGCTGGGCCAGCACCCACTCAGGAAAGGGACACTTGGATCAAAGGTGACTGGAGGGGTGGTGAGCCCAGGGAAGTCCTTTCTTGGGATTTTGCTTATGCCCAGAACTTAGTCTCTGGGGAGGTATAGTTGGAGGAGATACACATGTGTATTTGTTTTTTGCAATTTTTTTTTTTTTTTTTTTGGCTGGGCCGGGTTTGAACCCACCACCTCTGGTACATGGGGCCAGCACCCTACTCCTTGAGCCACAGGTGCCGCCCCATGTGTATTTGCTTTTTAAAACATACATAGGAAATCAGAAATGGATGTCATTGCCTACAGTGGCCACCCAAGGGCATTCTGGGTCCTAGGGTAACTGAACAGGGTTGGACATATAGGGGAGAATTCTTATGGCTTCAGTTAACATGTTCATAAAAATGTCTCTCAACCGTGGAGTGGGAGGGAAGACGACGCTGTGAGTGCTGATTTCACGGGCAAAGCACCAGCTCTGCTCTCCGGCAGGTTCTTTTCCCGCCTGGGAGTTTCTCATGTCTGTGGTGCAAAGACCTACCAAGTGGCCTGCTTTCTCTTGCAACCCGCAGAGGGAACTCAATTTCCACATTTAGCCCCCAGGGTGGAGCCTGAGGAAAAATATAATGATAGAGGTAATGTTTCTTCAAATGTTTAGCATTTTGTCAACCGATCTCTCCATAACGACTACAACACCATATAAAAATCCTATGAGAGTAGGTGTGTGTTTGTATGCTGATCAAAAGATACTTTAGGATTCTGGAGCTCTTTTTAAATCATCAAAGATGTTTTTGATGTATTGGGGATGGTTTGGTGAATTTTATTCTAGGCAATTTGTTTTAAAAAATATAAATCCACATGGATTTTTATGAGCAATTCTGTTAAACCACACTGTTGGGTTAGCCTGAGTTCTCTGATTGCACTGGGGAACAGACTGTAATTCTCAAATAGCCCTTTTCACAGATTTGCACCTGGGCTGGGCATGGGGATGGAGGAGGAATCCTAGTGCCCCCTAGGATTCTTGGCACACCCAGGTCCTCTGAGAGTGTAAGTGATCTTGAGCTGTCCAGGAGGAGCTGTAGGAAAGGTTTCTGGGGCACTTGTAGAGGATTAGAAAACGGGCCTTGGCGCCAGGTTACGAACAGGCCGTGTAATGCGGTTAAAATAAGAACTGACTTCAGCATCTGGCCTACGCTCACACCAAGAGCTTTCTGAGAAAAAAAAAAAAATTTCCCATTAATGAACACGCAGCTCAGATCACACATCTATGTTCTGTAGTCCTGACTGAACGCAGTCACAAGAGAAGAAAATCATGTGGTGACGTCCCCTCCGGGACCCATGCAGAGGCAAGGTCAGACCACTCTGGTTTCTCCAGGATTACGAGGAGGCTTGAGGGAGCAGGAGCGGGACTCGGCACACTGAGTGAAACCCACATGTGATCCCCGCATTCCTTCCAGCCGTGAGCTTTAACAATAGTCCTAACTTTCTTAGTTATTGGGTTAAGACATTTATATTCTACCTTTAGAAAGATTCACTTGTACCCTTACAAGATGAACCACAGCTACGATTTAATACCAAAAAAAAAAAAAATAGTTTTATCTTTCTCCCCTGAAAACAGTGGCTGGGATAAGGGCTCTTGAAAAATCCATCTGAGCATGATGTGAAGACTTAGACCCCTCACTGCACGACACATCCATCCTCTCCCCTTAAAGTTTGGCCCCAAGCCTTGTTCAGGCATCTCAGCTTTGCAACAAGAACAACCTCTGATTCACAGGAGACCAAGATGCCGCAGACTCCACTGCATCTCATGTGTGCCCTCGTTCCCACACTCGAACCCCGGCCAAAGACACATCCCGGCACGCACACTCCCCCATGCATGGCCGGCTCGTCCCTTGGCCCACTCACCTCGAGGACAATTTCTTTCAGTTGAAACTGCTTTTGCGCAACTTTATCTGAAGACACTGGCTCGTGGTAGTACAGGCAGAGCAGGTCGTATTTCTTCAAAACCTGCTTGAAGTTCTTCTCAGAAAGACTCACCACTCGGTCCTTCCCATCATACGTGGGGAAGTTCAGCCCCTCTTCTGCCCTGCAAGAGGACAGCAAACAGACCCCCACAACAAACAGATGAGTTCTCTTCATTTGGGAAAAGTTTCGATTCTTGTTCCCGAAAACACTACGTGTAAGCGGCGGGATGGAAGATCCTCGAGATCTTGCTGAGCTGAGTAGGAACAGAAAGGCTGATTTTGTCTGTTTTATTTGCCCTGCCTGGGGCTGAGAAGTGACACTTCACCTCTTTGGATCCAGCCAGCTCTGAAATCATGGGCTGGGGACAAAGAGTGGCAGCTCACACACACATGCGTGCGTAGAACAGAAGCCAGGCTAGGGAGCTGGGAGGCCCAGCCCCAGATACCTTACATAGCTCTGCCCAGCCCCTGTCTCATTAGGAGCTCCATTTTTAGGATGCAGTTGTTTCAGGCTAAAAATAAGTCATGCAATGAATAAAAAAGTTAGATATGACTCTGTTGAGGGATTCGCTGTCAGAGTGGAGGAGAGGGAGGAGGCAGGAGGAAATAGAGGAGGATGGGCACTCGTGAGATCAGGAGGCTGGAGATGTCCAGGGACTCAAAGAATCTCGAGAGAGAGGAAGGAAAATGAGAGGAGGGGGAGGTACAGGACTATGGCACCTACAAGCAAACGGAGAGGTCAGAACACACTGAACGCCACTCACACAGGGTGGAGCTGTTAAATGACTCCAGGGAGGCAAACTGGCCTGTCCCCTGCTGGCAAGCTGCTCCTGCCCTGCTACCAGCATGACATGGAACACAACAGCGCCCCCAAGACACTGGATGTCACCTTCTGCCCCTGTCCTTCCCTGCCTCCCGTCCTCTCCTCTCAGAACTCTCTGTCAGGCACTGGGTGAGGAATGCAGGGACACCCTTTCCCACCGCCCCAGCGCAAAGGAATAGAAAGACCCCCCTCCCCCGCCCCAGTTCCTTTCCTACTATCCCTGCCCACGGCTGAAGCCTCCCGCTGCCAGGAGACTCTGTCCTCATTTTAAAATTAAATAAAGCACGGTTCATTAGCCTTCCTCAGAAACCCTCTTGGGTTCCCTGCACTCACCCCTGTCATATTTCTTGTTTTTACATTAACCCTGGTGTATCATTGACCCTTTCATCTGCATTTAGACAGGCTGATGTGGAGGGCCCGAGGCAGACAGATCAGAGTTCAAATCCCTCCTCTGCTGTTTAAAAGCTGATGAACTTTGGAGGGTCCCTCGCCCTCTCTGATCTTCGCTTTCCCTCTATGTAAATTGGGCACAACTCTATATAACTAAGATATTTAGAGCACTGATGGAAAAGCATGGCACAAAGTCGGAGCTCAAAAACAGTAGCGATGGTCCTTCCTTCTCACTGGAGGGGGTGGGGCCCTGGGTATTATAATGTGATTTGTAGGTATCTAATACTAATGGTTTGTACACTCGTGAATCCAGCAGGCAGTGTGAGCAGAAGGGCTCACTTCACAGCCGAGCTGAGGCTCCGAGATCTGCCCCTCAGCTGAGGGGCAGACTTACTCACCATGGGGCGAGAATTCAGCCTTGCCGTCTTTGACTCTGACTCCCGGCAATCCCCCTTCAGACACCCCTTTTCTTAAGTCGTTCCTCAACCATTTCCTCTGGTCAAACTATGGTCCAGTTACGTCTTTCCACTCTTTTAGGGGGCTCTCTGGCCCTGATGATTCTGGCCAAGTTCGCATCTTCCTTCAGTTATAAAATCAGCTTTGGAAAGAAACTCTGTCACTCTCCCCTTTCCCAGGGGCTAGAAGGAAAAGCGCAGCTCAGGGGCCTCTCCGAGCGCGGGGAGGCCTCCTGCTGCAGGCGGAGGGTCTTGCCACCGAGCTTCATGTCCAGGAAGCCAGGGCCTCAGAGAACCGTCCTGAAACCCTCGCCAGCGTCCCGTTCCTTCTCAGGGTATGCTTTCTGGGTTTTTTAAAGATGGAGCCAAGAACAACAATTCTAAGGAGTAGTTAGCTTTCCAGGTCACTGGCAAGCATGCAAGGTCTCTGCTTTCCTTAGAAAATATAGGGGAAAAATAGATTTCGGAGTGAAACAATGTGTCTTGTCTTTCCAGGTCAGCATCCCCAAACTGTTCCCAATTGTCTCAATCTCACTGGGTTGCCGTTATTTAGAATTTGCTCTACTTTTCTTCATATGTAAGTTTTAAAAATTTTTTTACCTGTTACTGAAAAACTGGAAGCTATTTAAAGTCAGAGTCTTTGAATCTCCTACTGACTTAAACTGGATAAAACTACCAGGGCAAAGGGATAATTCTTTTAATGTTTGGTTTAGCCCTGAAGTATGGCTTATGGCCAAAAGTCCCCGTGTGGAAAGTTTCTGTCCCTGGACTGTGGACTGTTTTGGGGACCAGGCAGCCCTGGACATATGCTGCGGTGATCAGGTTTCCCTGCACATCCCTGGGACACATGAGGATCTAAATTTGCATCCTACTCTCAGGAAGAGGTGGGCTTTCATGGTTCACTTCTAATGGACCAGCCTTATTTTTTCCTGCCTTTTACTTTCCTATTTTTGTTTTCCCTCTGCCTTTTTGCTCACTGATTTTATTTATTTTGTAAAGAAGGAATGCTGCACACATTTCTGAGTCAACCCTACGTCCCGCAAATCAGCCTCTGTGTTCCAGTGTTAGCTGCCGCCCAAGCCCCTGCGTCCTGCACTCCTGATTTATGTGGTGGCGCTGACATATGTGCTTTTATGTGACCTAGTAAGTACTTTTTGTTTCATTTTCTGAACAAGAGGGGTAAAGCAAAGTAAACAAATCAACACAAGTGAATGTTAATTGTCACAGTATGAGACACAGGTCCCTCATTGGCAATCTTCTCTAGGCCTTCACTGTGTGAGTGGGCACCACCCAGAATCCCTTACTCTAGCCTAGGCCCTTTCATTTGCTTCTTCTAGGTGGCAGAATGATTTTGATTATGTGTGGCCATAAAGTTTGAGTGCGATTTAAAACAGTTGCACATAAACTTTATGGCCGCCCAGTATTATTTAATTTGAATTTCACAACAACCTATTTTACAGAGAATCGGAATTTGAATTCATGGCCTTCCATTTATTTTGTTTTGTTTCATTTGTTTTTTGATTAAACACCTTTTTTTTTTTTTGAAGCATCTTCTAGTTACTAGACACACTCCTGGGTGCTGAGGATGGATCCTTTGTAGACCTGAACGCATCTGGCATGCACCAAAGCAAGGAGGTAGGCAATAGTCAAAACCAAAATGTGCGTGTGCATGCCTGCATGTGTGCACATGTGTGTGCATGTGTGTGTGAGTTTGCACATGTGCGTGCATGCCTGCATGCGCGCACATGTGTGTGCATATATGTGTGTTTGCACATGTGTGTACATGCCTGCTTGTGTGCACATGTGTGTGCATGCGTGTGTGAGTGTGCACATGTATGTGCGTGAGTGTGCACATGTGTGTGCATGTGCAATATAATGTTGAACATAGGCAGGTGCTCTGAAGAATGACTGAGGAGGCGAGGAGAGAGCCAGTGGCTGTGGGTAGCTGGAGGACGCACACTTGAGGGGGAGCAGGGGAGACCCAGAGGAGAGGAGGGAGCGAGGCAGGGGCAGGCTGCTGAGGAAGGCACCCCTGGGCGGAGAGGTGGACACCCCGCCTTCAAGCCCTAAGGGCACTTCTTCAGCTCTGGGGGAGAGCAGGTTGGCAGAGGTTTTATCCAGCTCCTCAGTTTTCTCTATTTGTGTAGGAATGAGTAACACACACGTGCCCACACTCACATCCGGGAGTCTGAGGCGGCTCAGAGAACCAGGCTGAGAAGTCAGGAGGCCAGGGATCCGTCTGCCTGTGGAACCTGAATCAGGTCCCCTCACCCCAGGGCCCTCCCACTTCCCATTTGTGAAAGAGGGTCAGACCCACTGATCTACAGCCCTTTCTGACCTGACAAGTTCACAGTCTGTTAGGAGATAATCTTTCACGGGCACAGCCCACGCCTGCAGGAGTCCCACTCCCTGCGGAAGAGGATTGTGATAGGTGGGACTCTAAACAAGTCCAAGCTTGCCTCTCCTCCGAGGGGTAGATCTCCCGCCTAAGTCACTGCCTGCAAAGGTCCCTTCTTTGGCTAAAATACTCCACCCAGTGGACAAAGCAGAATATGGCATCTTTCATTGCTCTTGTTGGGCGGGGCCCCTGGCCAGAGAACCGCAGCCGGGACACCCGGCATGGAGTGAACAGAAATGCTTGTCCCTAAAGCCCTGTGCTCCACAGCCTCAGGCATCCTCTGGGCTGGTCCTAGCAACCCCAAGGCCCTTCTTTTCTCTTAACTCTGAATATCTGGTGGCCATGGAAGACTTCCCACCTTCCAGTATCATCAGGAAATTCCTAAACAGATCCAAGCAGAAAGAGATCGATACTAGCTTGGCAAAGAGCCTTAAAGCTCCACCAATAAATTCCAGGTTTTGACAACTCCCTCTTCCTCAGGGCAGCCCTCAGTGAAGACCTGGCTCTGACGTTCACTCCCCTTACACATTGTGCTTCTCCTTCGTACTCCCCCCTGGGGAGCCTCCATCAGGAACCTCCATCAGTTCACAGACGATGAGAGGAGACATCTTGGCCTTGTGCCTGATCTTACTGGGAAAAAGTTCAGTTTTTCACCACTAAACGTGGTAGCCGGAGGTTTTTTTTTAGATGCCGTTTATTGGGTTGTCCTAGTTAGTTGTCTGAGAGTTGTTGGTTTTTTTCTTTATCATGAATGGATATTAAATTTTGTGAAATGCATTCTCTACATCTATTGAGATGACCATATGGTTTTTCTTTTTTAATTTGTTTGTTTGATAAATTACCAAATTGATGGATTGATTTTTGAAAGTTAAATCCACCTTGAATTTCTAATATAAACCCTATTTGGTTATCCTTCTTGTCCCTTTTTGAATTTCGTTTACTGAAATTTTATTTAAAATCTTCGCAGCTTTGTTCATGACAGAGATTGGTCCATCGTGCTTTGTGTAGATCCAGTTTGCCATCTGGCATTATTTTTTTCTTTGCCAGAATGACTTATATTTTCTTCCACTTCCAGAAAGAGAGCAGGGAGATTTTTTTCCTCCCTGAAACTGGCAGGGACCATCTCCTCTGATCTCATAAACTAAAATTGAGGGCGTGTCCACCTCGGAGAAAGAGAGACCAGGGGATGTGCTTCTGCTGAGCCACTTGGGATCAGGTGGTGTCAGCTCCCTGAAAGCCTGAGGCTTCCAGGAAGGGGTGGAGTGCCAAAGACACTGGGGTCATTGTCAGAAGTCAGAGGAATGAGGAGATGCAATCACA